GTGTATAAGAGAAGGGGGTGTGTGTGTTAAAAATAGACTCCAATTCTCCCGAGAGGAGACATGTAGCCATTCCTGGCACATTTCCTCCTCATCCTGTCACGCTGCTTGCAAAACAATCCCGAGCGAGGAAGGGGCTGGCTTGTGGCCCCCGGGCGGGCTGCAAGGAGGAGCTGCTGGAAGGCAGCAAGGGTGGACGGGCAGCGTGGGCAGGGACCCCACGGCATCGCCATCGCTCACCCCAACACTTGCTGGGACCCCCCGGTACACACCAGCAAACATGGCCCCAGAGAGGCTGTTCACAGGCAGGGGCCGTTCACAGGCAGGTCTGGGAGCCACTGCTTTCAGCTACAGGGCCCAAAGTTAACTAAATTCTGGGAAATAGTGTCTTCAGTCACCTGCATGGGGTCAGCTGTCTCCCCAGGATTTCGGAGCAATTAGTATAGGATTGTTATAACACGCTTGATGAACCCAGAGCAAGCCCAGCTGCGGCAACCTTCCCTGGAGATCACTGATCCCAGAGGGGACGCCTCAGCAGGAGGAAGCGAAGGCCCAGCCAAGCAGTGATGCCTCTCTTGCAGTCGTGCAGCCAGCAGCCCACTGCTGCACCCAGAGTCCCACCATTCCACCCAGAGTCCCATCACAGCACCGAGTCCCACCACTGCACCCCAAATTCCACCATGGCACCCAGCATCCTGCTGCTGCACCCCAAGTCCCACCATTGCACCCAGAGTACCACCACAGCACCCAGAGTCCCATTGCTGCACCCCAAGTCCCACCATTGCACCCCACACGGTCATACCTCCTGCCCTGGCACCTTCCTTCCAGCCTTGATTCAGCCCCATCCCTGCCTCGCGAGGGTGCTGGAGGGGCACAGAGACCCCCGAGGGTTTCCCCCACGCAGAGCCATTGCCATGGCCAGCCATGCTGTCCTGACACCCCAAGCTCCCCATGACACGTGTCCCCCACACACAGCCCGGCTGCCCCCAGCACCCCCCTGATGCACCTTCCCTGCTGCAGGCATAGCAGGGTTACACACACCACAGGAGAGGCTAACTCCCTGCACAGATAATTCCTTAAATTCCCACACAGGATCCAAAAGTGGGATCCCTGGGGTGGGGGGTAGAAGAGGGGAGGAGGTTTGGATGCAAAAATGGGAGTTGGATACAAAAATGAGGATGAGGCTCCTGGGCTGGGACGTTGCCAGCTCCCTCTGCACCGGTGAGGGGACAGGCAGAGGGGACACACGCCCAGACCCTGTGCTCCAGGCATCCCCGGGGGCTGACCTCGCATCGGCTCCCACAGGATGTTGATAGAAAACAACCGGCGGCCACCACTTCACCCGTGGCCCAGTGACGTGCGGGTGGTGCAACAGGAACCCCAGGAAATTCCTCGAGGCTTCAAGGTCTGCTCCTGGGGTTTAGTCTGCTCCTGGGGTTTAGTCTGCCCCTGGGGTTTAGCACAGCAGGACCGTGCTGCCCGGCTCTCTGCTTTTTGGTCTTTACACGGGAGGAAGAGCGGGGCTGGGTGATGGGATGTGCTCCGGCGAGTCGGGATGTGGCTGCGCTGTGCCCCTGCCACCATCCCAGGTCCAGGGGGGGAAAAGCAGGAGCTCATCCTGCAGCAGTTGTGTGTCTGGGCATGGGGTCCCAGCCGGCACCCCCAGAAACACCCGTCAGCCTTGGTGATGCACGGAGACCTTCCAGGGATGCTCTGGATCCCCTGGCCAGGGGAAACAGGCACTTGACCTGCTGGCCAAGGGAAGGCAGCGAAGTACAGTCCTTCCTTTTAAAAGATCCTGAATATTTAAGGCAGGAGAGGTCACAGGCAGGTTACTGGCGACCAGCCCGTGCCTACTCAAGCACATCAGGAAGCAAAGCACTCACAGAGCTGACACCTCTCCCAAAATACCCATCCTCTGGGTACCACAGGAGCTCCCCCTCCCCGGGCACCCCGCGCCCCCGAGCCAGCTCCCCTCACCCGTCCTGTTTACACACTTTGCTGTCCCCGCAGACGCAATCCTCGGCACCCAGTGAGGAACTGGGTGTGTGTGGTAGGGCTGGTCTGGAGAAAATAATTCAGGCAACAGCAACAAAAAGGAAAGAAGGGGAGAGGAGGAGTAACCTTGCACTGAACAGGCCCGTCGGGGAGAAGTGTGTGCAGGCATGGACACATTTGGGTGTGTTTTCACCCCAAACCCTTCGCTCTGAAATCTAAACCAAACACGAACTCCTTGAGAGCATCATGACTCAAAGCCCGGTTCAAAGCAACCCCTTGGACACCGGGATGTTTCCACTCCTCACCCGAACACCTCCTCCTCCACAGCCCAGAACCCCACTGTAAGAGCTGCAGCAGTGGGAAACGTTTACCCCCAACCAACCAGAAAATATGGAAAAAGGTGGGTTGGTTTTTTTTTTCTTAGGAAAATCAAAAGTCCACCTGAAGCAACTCAGTGCAGCTGCTACCAGCCCCCACTTGAGGGGTAACACTCCCAGAGGGAAGATGCATTTGGGGAAAATAATGACTCGAGGTGGAGAGATGGGGATCCGGAGCTGGATGTGAGAATTCTGACCTCCTCACTCATCACAAGCATCCTATAGGACCTTGAAAGCTAAAGGAGCGCTAGAAAAAAAATAATTTAAAAAGGAAAAAAGATTAAATTGAGAAAATATCTTAATAAAAACAAATATTCCCCCAAACTGATGGATCCTGCCTGGACTGCAGCAAACAGGGGAGGTATTTTCCCAAACACATTTTCAGTTCAAGCCGTGTGAGACTATTCATTTTTTCTTGCGTAGTTTTGCCATTTAAAGCTGGTGTGTGTGACTATCTTTTGACCAAAATAAACTCTGTGCCTGTTTCTAAATTAAAGAAAAAAAAAAAAAAAGTTCTCAAAGCATTTCCCCTCTTGCCGCACCCATAAATTGCAGCTATTTTCTCTGTGTGTCCTTTGTTTAAACACAACGACCTCTATATATCTTATAAGATGCCCCATGGCAGTTGGGAGATCGGAAACGAGAGCTCTTCAGCAGCTGAAGAATTTGCAATGAAGCTCCTTTTCTTTCTCTAAACTACGAACCCCGCGAGCCACAGAATTTGGCTGGGAATTTTTCCCAAAGAAGAAGACATTTAGGGAAGGGCCACATGATCCATCTGAAGCGACGGCGTGCGGTGGCTGTGCAGAGCCATGTGCGTGCTTTCAGCTCTCCTCCTCCGCGGCAGAGAAACACTGAAAACCCATCGCAGAGACTAGAGCCAGCGGGTTTTGATCTGGCCTCGAGATAAAGAGCCTGGGTCTTGTTTTTCTGGCAGGGTGTCCCTCGCTGCCCTTTCCCCTTAGCAGGTACCTGGCTTTGCAACATCTCCTTTGGATGCCACCATCTCTGCTTCACAGGTTGGGAAACCGAGGCACGGGACAGCAATGCCCCCGACGAGGCAGCAGCCCCGCTAGCAGACAGACGGCACAAGTAGGGCACAGGCTTACGTGACCCTCACCAAGGTCATGCAGGAAATCGGAGCCAAAGCTGGGAATAGATCCTGGCTATTGCAAGACTCCAGCTAGCATCTTGACTGCTGAATCAACCTGCTCTGTAATTTTATTTTTTTTTTCTTCTCCTCCTGGCTTCGTGATACACAGCACTTCTTCACTATTAATTTCCAATAAGGGAAGAAAACATCTTTATAAAACATTTGTCGCCACTCTCATCCAGCTGCTTTAGACACTCAGACCAGCACCAAACGAAGCTTTGCTGCTGTTTTCCATCCCCTTGGCACTCTTGGGTCCAACAGTAGAAACTTCCAGCTTGGTCCAGCAAACCCCCATGCCGGGATGCAGCCCGGACAGGCAGGTCAGACCCCCTGGGAGCTGCAGCTGCTGAGAGCATCCGACCGTGCCACCAGTCCTCGCAATACTTTCCTGTTGCATTTTATCAACCAGTGCCCGGGACTCTTCAAGTGTTTCTGTTTGGCCGGGGTAGGCCTGCAGCAGCCCCTCAGCTAATAACAGCTTTTGCTGATAGGGCACTATCAAGGAGGGCTGTGATTTTAACGTTTCTAAACCACAAAATGTCCCAGAGCAGAAACAATTACAACAGCGCGGAGGTGTTTTTTTTCCCAGCATAGCTCATTTGTACCAGAATAAACTGTACCAGCATAAGCTTTCACCAGTATAATCTTCATTTATGCTTAAGAGGCTTTGCCAGTAAAAAAACCTACAGTGACCTAGCTCTGCTGGAAAACCTTTTCTCGCACATCCAGGGAGTTTACTCAGCAGCTCGGTGGCTCGGCAGTCTGCTTCTGCGAGAGGGGAAGTTAAAAAAAAACAAAACAACCTATCTCAAGGCACAAACAGACTGCTGGACCCACGCTTTTCTGCCGCCGAGGAGGGCTGCGGACCCAGGACATGAGCCCACGGCCCATCCGAGGGGGCTCAGAGGGGTCTCCAGGGAGCCACCACACCACAAGCACCCCCGCGCCGGGCCCTGACTTTTTTTTTTTTT